GATGAAACGCTGGAAACGGAGGGTCTACAGGGGTTCAAGGAGAAAATATCTGTTGCTTGTGCCGAGAGCGAAAAACATAACCTTAGGAAATAATCCAAGAATAAGGAAGGTCTAGAAGTGTACGGAATGTTGAAGGAAGGAATAGTGTTCAAGGACTACCCACATGGACCGATGGATGCAGGAACAAAGCTTAAGGTCAAATTCAGGACCTGGGACTTGGGCCTTCGAGAACGTCGACGAAGACATAGGACGGTAGACGAGGAAGACGACGAGTTCAAATGTGATTGCGGCTTCGAATGCGAAGACCGTGTTCATGTAGTCGCGGAATGTCCGTTGTACAAGAAGGAGAGGGAAGTGTACGTGACTGAGCTGGGAAAAATAGATGGAACGTACAGGGAGATGTTTGAGGCATGGAATAGTGAGGAAAGGACGGTAGCTGATCTGGGGCATAGGAGGTGGGTTGAAATGGCGGGAAGGAATATCGTTAGGATTGACAGACTAGGGAAGACATTTTTGAGCCACCTTTGGCAAAGTAGAAAGATTAGCCATCGGTGATCGGTCCTGTGGGAACAATGCTCCGTCCTCTCGAGGACGCGTGGTCAATGGTCTAGCCGCTAAGGCATGCAAAACATAAGAGTACGCCCCCCCCCAACCTCTCTCTCTCCCTCTCCTCTTCACGGTCCCACTAGTTCCTGACGCGAGCCAAGTCGGTCTAGATGGTAGAAGCGAGAGGGATAATGAAAATACAGATAACAAGTTTTCAGAGGAAATCGTTCGTTCCGATGGTCACAGTAAGAGAAAAAGGCAGGCCAAGCAGCAAAAACACCCAAGACAAACGAACCGACAACGACAGGACAGGGACTGCGCGAAAGACAAAAAAAAAACAAGTGAAAACGAGAACAAAAGGTCCACAACACGCCACCACTTGCAGACCTTGAGAGTAGATGACGATGGTGTCAAAAAGCTCGAAACCTAAGGGAAAAGTCTACCCCGACAACACAGAAAATCAGAAACGATTCTTCAAAACACGAGAGGCCTATGATACGTGGTGGGTGGGCCTCTGGTGTACGCGTGTACACAAAAACACAAACTGAATTAAAAAACAATTGCAGGTGCTATCGAGACGACGTTCTAACTCATGCCTGCCCCCACCTTCTTCCCGCCCTACAGGAAAACAGGGCAATTCCAGCAAGTTTGCGTTCGTTGATGTCGACAATTGCCGTGCGTGCTACCGTACGACCTTGGACATCGCCCAACCTGTGCGTGAGAAAAAACGGTGAAAAGCCAGAAACGTGTATCATATTTAGTACCGATGTGTCTTGGGGTACAAACCGCCCGGGAGTCGTGCGTCGTGCAGCTCTGGGGCTTGGAAGAGACGACGGTCGTAACAACCTTACAAGCACGCTCAATTCACACGCAACAACAACTCGGCAGACCTCGGCCGAACGCCCGAAAAAAAAATGAAAGTAAGCTTCATACATTTTCGCGTGGGAAACAAGCACACCGAAGCAAAAAAATCAAGTAATGGTTTTTACCACCCATGCATATCAAAGGTACAGTTGCAGGGCGGTGGCTACAAAAACAAGTGAGGCAGGTGCAAGCACGGGAAATTCGATCATGGCCAATTTTCGTGACACGATATATTGCAATACATGCAATCAACGCGCTCTTCTTGCACTCTCTCGTCGCAGCAACCTAAAACAAGTCCCACACCTCTTAAGGCATTATTTCGTCAACGGCTTGGTTGCTGCCGGCATCCATCACTGAAAGACGTTAGTCTATGGGCAAAACAACATAATCACTGCCGCATATTGCCAACGTTCCAACTTTCGCCAACTGTGTGATACAAAAACACATCAGGAAATCGGTCGGTCGATTGGCCCATGTGTCGACAACCCGCCAGAGGTTTCTTTACCAACACTCAGTAAGTTGTGATCGGAGATTTCTCTTCTAGACTCTGCACTGTATATTTTGCTCTCCGTCCCCTCTTTCTCGCTCTCCGTACTGTAGCAGAAACAAATTGACGTTGCTCGTGGCAAAACTGAACGCAACAAGCGAGGCACAAACCCATGCATGTCTTCCCAATCGACGCAATTCGCAAAAGTACGAATACCACCCGGATGTCACATAAATCTACACACGGAGGAACCGTTCATCGTGTCTGCGAACATCGTACAACAAGCAGCGCAGACACACAGAATGCAACAACATCCTACATATACGGGGGCTGCCCGGAATACAACGATACCGACGGGGGGTCGAGCAAGGAAAATACCACACCATATACATTACATTCATGACAAACCCCGTGCTATGCCCGCACGGCGTTGGATGATAAGTCAGTCTTCGTCCACGACCATTCTTGCGCTTACAGCGGGGGGGGCAACTCTAACGCCGTCTTTCACGGCGCACGCCTCCACGAACAAAAACCACCGGGGGATGACGAGGGTGTGCGTGTGTGACTTGACTTGAAGTGTTTTTTCGTGACGTGATGTGGCGTGAAATCCCTTCTCTCACGCCACTCATTTTTTGCATCTACCACCACGACCACCCCCACCTCTTTGACATCTGAAGCTCTCTACAATATGGCAACGCGCCTTCGCTCCCTGTCACATCTCATCCATAACCACGGCCAACCGCGGCCATCGTGGCCACCACCACGAGTCTCGCGCTCTCCAAGGAAAGAAACCGCCGCCGGCGGCGCGGTCGATCAAACCTCAGCTAGGCGGTGCGGGGAGGCCGCTACCGTAGGGAAGTTCTCCCTCTGCATCATCCGCCGCTGCGCGCGGACGCTCTTGAAGCGGTCGGTTTGCAAGAAGCGTCGTAGGAGGTTATCCTCTAGCATGGTCTTCACCTCCAGGTACGCCCTCGCGAAAACCAGCCTACCAGGCGTTAATGGGACGGGGGGGGGCAGAACAAGAAGAAGAGGGGCGTGCCCAGCTCAGTCACTTTGTTGTTGCTTGCCTTTGTGGTGATTTGGCTGTGCTTTACCACGCGGTATCCTTTTCTTTTGAGAGGGAGCACCTCAACGGTGTCGGGAGGGGGGGGCGTGGCCGAGGCGTGGCAGGCGAACGTGGTGTCGCACCTTCCTCCCGCTCATCCAATCGTTGCACGATAAGCAAAACAAAAAAAGCAAATTAAAAATCTACATGGGCATGTACGTTCCGTTCGAGTGATCCAGAGTGGGCTCATAAGAGCACAGCAGTGCCATCACGGGGCAATGCAACATGAAAATAAGCAGGGGAGCAGGCCAACCCCCAGGTGGCTGCCAGCTGCGGTGTGGCGTTTCCCAACCTACCGGACGTGGTGTTGACTCGAACAGGCCAGCGAGCCTCAGCGAACAAAAACGAAGAATCTACAATTTTGTGTACAGCAAGCAGTCTTACGACAGCAGTCCCCCAAGTCATTAACCGACTGCCGTGGCCCCGTCTCCCCTACGCATCGACAACCCGAACGTTGTTGCTATGATATGAACCATCTCACACCCTTCGCCCCTCTCTCCCTCCTTGCCTCTCCCCTACACATCGACAACCCGAACGTTGTTGCCAAATTATGTATCATATCACACCCTTCGCCCCTCTTTCCCTCCTTGCCTCTTACCGCCCGCCCGCCCGCCCGCCCGCCCACCCCAGCCCCCTTATCGACGAACAAATCGTTCGTGCAAGCAGTGCGTGCCCACCTTCTTTCCTCCTCGGTCCCCGCCTCGAACAACACATCCCCCTTGTGAGCCAACTCCATTAATCTCTTCCGTTCCACTCCACTATGACGGCGTCGGAGTGGGCGTTGCAGACATGTGATTTCGTTGCGACAGGCGACAGGACACACCGTCGAGAGAGAAGAATTTGTGAGACTTGGATTGCGACACTGCGCGCTAGGCGCTTACGCTCACAGCACTTGAACCAGCGGCATAGCGAGACAACAAGCGAGGAAGAGGAGGTGGTTGTGGCGGGGAGAGGGGTGACAGGCCACAATGTGGCATCGAGCGAGGCAGCGCGGGGAGGGGGCAGACAAGCTGTAGAACGGTGCAGTGCGACACACCGCCATCTCCGGCGAACCAAGACGGGACGATGGCGCCAAAACCCATCATCACAACAACAGGATCACAACACTTGGCGCCGCCTTCATCAATCCACAGCGAACGGTGGAACCCGTTGCACACGCACCTGATGCTAACTTCCTCGCGAGAACCGGGTCTGATGAACACGTCGTTAATTCGGCAGAAAGCTTGGTACTGCGACGGTCCCGAGAGACCGGCGGGCTCCGGGAAGTCTCCCGACTGATACCTGTTTCGCGGCGAGAGCGGGAACACGACGGAGAAGAACGCTCCAAGCGTCAGGACCAGAGACCACTTTCGACTCAAGAACGATATATGTGCATCACAGAAGCAGCAGTAAAATTTCCTCGTCGTACTATTAATACCACATCCAAGAGCGAGATTCGGTTGTATCGTGTTATCAAACTCTCTCTCTCTCTCTCTCTGTCTGTCTGTCTGTCTGTCTCTCTCTCCCTCTCTCTGCCTATCTGTCCATCTTCCTCTCCGTTCCCGTCCCCCCTCCGTCTCCCATCTCACCGAGAAACCTCTCGGAGGAAAAGCACGCACTCGTGGCACAGCGCCTTCCGAGTGTACGCCTCAAACGCGGCGGCCACCAGGGGTTTTCTCGCCAGCCGCTCGAAGTCCCACGCCTCCACCATCTCCTCCCCACCACCCCTACCCCCACCGCCTCGCCCACCGCCGCCGCCGCCGCCGCCCGCCCCGCCGCCCCGACTTGTGCAAAAGTTTATTCCCTGGTACTGCCAGTTTCCCGCCCCGGGATCCCCCGGCGAGGGAGAGGGCGAGAGGTTCGCTGGTGGTGGCTCGTCGTACAACGAGGTCGCCACCGCCGCTACCGCTGCCGCTACAGCCGCCGGCGTGGGCGCGGTAGGCGTGGTATCACAGCCGTCGTCGTCGTTTTCGTCGACTCCATCGCCGTAGAGCCCTTCCTCCAGCTTCCTGCTCGCTACCCTGACCGCCCTGCTGCTGCCCCGGATGTCGGCGGTGGCCTTCGCCGAGTAGGAGACGTCCTCACTGTCGGAGACGCACGAAGAGGCCGTTCGCATCGTACTTTTTGGGGCCGGCCAAGGGTTGTGGAGGTGGTGGCCGAGATGTGACAGGGGGGGCGCGCGAAGGGCGGTGAGACAAGGGAAGGGGTTTACGAGCGTTGGAATAGGGGGCGGGGAGACTCACAGTCATGCATGCCGCACACATTCAATCAAACCTCCAGTGCTGGGGCAGAGCATGCTGCACCTGATCAAGCTCGTACGCCACCAAGCGCGAAACGAAGTCTCAACTCTGCGTGGTGGTGGAGGTGGTGGGCGCACGTAAACCACTGGCTCTTGCGCGTCGTCCATGTAGTCTAACATTCTCCTTCCGTTTATCATTGGCGGCTAGAAGCAAAAACTACAACATACATGGCATCGCGTAGCTGTGGGTGCCGCCAGCATGAGCGGTCGATGTTGTTCGCCTGGGCTCTTTCTGCCTGTCTAGATAATGCATCAACACTCGCACGCCCCCTGTCATCCGTCTTCTCTCTCTCAAACACCGCCTTCGAGGGATCCTCCCGCAGACAACGAAATCGTTTCCAATCTCCACATCACGCTCAGATACTGGAACGACCATACTCGTTACTCAGACACCGCGTGGACAACGCCCATCGAAAGAGAGGACACACGGAAGACAGCGGAGGCGGCGGTCGACGCCATGGCCAAAATGCACCCGCAGAAAAATACGAACCTCCCCTCGCGCATCCCGTGTGACCCCGAGAACGAGAATGCTCGTGCAAAATCGTGCGCCTTAACTTCCCGCTAATTAAAGACTAACTTCCCGCTATGTAACACTAACGGGCTGTTCTTTACCACGGCCGCCAGCAGCAGCCCCTTTTGTACACGCACATACACACCCCATCACGCGCATGTTACTACTCGTGTATTTCTTACCTCCGAGTATCCCGGCGAGCGAGCACCGCTCTGTCCATGCAGCGCTGCTTGGACCCGGCCAAGGGGTCAACCGCGAGGAGACGCAGCGGACCCACCACGCTGCGTGGGTGTCGCGCGAGGCAAGGTGTTGGTGTTGTTGGGGTATGTGTATGATGAGCGCGGATATCCTGTCAGCACAAACATCGTTCGAATACGCGGCTTCTCTGGCCGCAGCAACTTGGCGGCAGCGCGGAGCGTCGCCATGCGTTTTACATTACACTACCCCCTCCTCCGCGCCTTCTTCTTGGCCACCAATTTACTGTTCCGATTTATTGTCTCTCTGGAACACACATTTGGTCGTTCTCTCTGGCTACGTCTGTTTCTCGACGGCTAGGACTCCCCCCTTCGACACACCTGACCCCGAACACCGCGGCCGTTATGAAGAAATTGAGGTTGCCCCCGGTCCACATGTCCACCTCGTAGTACAGCCCGCACTTGATTCCGACTGAGCAACGCGACCACAAAGAGCGGAGGGACAATTTTGTGTGTGAGTTCGTGCGTGTGAGTTGGTGGTGCTGACGAAAACATGGCCCACAGCAGCTCCTTGCGTGTTGTCAGCCCACACAGGGACGTGAAGTATTTGCGGATAAAAGGGCTATGGGCTAAAGTACAAAAGAAGGCCAGAAGCAAAGACACAAGGAGGGAAGCCCAAAGTATTATGCTAACAAACATGCACATACAGCAGGCACGTCCCCACGACGCCGGCGCCACGATTCCACGGCCCCCCCGAAAACACAACAACGACGACGGCGACTATCTATCGTTTGTGCCAAGATTCCGTCGCGCCCGGCCGCAAAAAAAAACTCACTGGCGAGAATGAGAAACAAGATCGTGACGATGATGAGCTCCCTGCTGATGTTGAAGAGGTCGTCCACCTTCCTGTTGTATCGAGCGTGGGCGTGTCAATACGGACAGTTTTTGCTTCTTGATTGGGGCGGGACGGAGGTGGGCGAGGATCGACGTGGTGTGTGTGGGGGGCAAGCCCGACTGAACGCTCTTTTCTCGTGGGTGAGCCTCACGGTCACCTATCCTCCTCCCCTGCTTACACGTGCGCACTTGCACCTACCTATGTTTGACCTGCCACACCCACGACAACAAGATATGTTGACCTTGTCTTCGACATGATGCACAAAAACAGAAACGAATGAGAAAGCTTGTTATTGGTTCTTGCCGGATGAAGGGGAAGATGCACGCCAATGTCCCAGCGAGGACGAGAGTGGCGGTTGCCAGGGAGTCCGCCTGCTTCGGGATGATCTCCCTGGGGTCAGGCAGGCAGCGGGCACCGAACGGACAAAAGCTAGTATTGGTTCCAAAGTTGTGCATGTGTATCGGATGGTGTCCAAGCTTGTGCAACAATGGTTGTAACACTTCTACTTGTGCACCTGTCCTCCACGTGTGTACGGTATTGAAGTCCAAAAATTCTGACGAATCTCCAACAGCCAGTCACGTCTGGGTCATCATCACCAAGCCTGATATATATCGGGCGGTGATGAACGCACTTCGACTCATTACCGAACAGCCAGCCAATGCTCGTGGTGCTCTCACAGCTCGGTCTTTTCTCCCTGCGCCTTTCTCCACGAAGAACGTCTAGGTCTCCAAGAGAGAGGCACGTTTGGGTCTCTTTCGGGCATGCGAGATTATACAATTGCTCGAACCCGAAGTATTTTTCTACCCATTGCGTGTTTTGGTGTAGTCGTGTAAATAAGCGACCAGATATCGTAAGCATGTGCTTAATGGTTCCGGCCGCTATAACACAACTACACCAAAACAATGCGGACGAGGATCGAAAAATTATTTGGGCTCGAGCAATGGTGGAATCTCGCCTGCCCATGAGAGGCCCAAGCAGCGTATGGACGCCCACCCCCCCCTCCCCTCCATATCCCTCCCTACATCAACTTTGTTCTCACCACACTTCCAAGGTCATGTCCTGGTAGATCGGGACAATCAAGAACGCGACAACCGTCGCCGACAGAAAGAACAAGTGGTTCCGCTCCTAGACAAACAAAGGCGTTGATCCGAGGGGGGGAGAAACAACACAACAAAGTTGATACACACACCGAAGCGATGCATCCGCTTGCGCAGGCCTTGTATCGGGACTTGGCAACCAGACTCCCACCAATCAGGAAATACACTACTTCGAGCTCTTCGACCTACAACATGGCGAACGGAGTAGGCTGTGCTGCTCCACGAAATCAACGTCTCAAAGTAGGCACAAGAAATCGAAGGCCATGACACAGATCACGAAACGTGTACATAAGTTTCGCAACAGACGCGCAAAGGGACGTTAGGGGTAAGGGTGGATCCTCATTGTCAGAGAGAGCGACATAAAACACTACTAGGTCAACTATCGGGGCGCAAACTAGCAAGCATTAACGAGTATCGAAGATGCGCGCGACGTCAGAGCACGCAGGCAGAATACGCCAAAGAGGAGGGGGAGGCGCACCAACACGTGCTGCAACGGAAATCGAAAAGGTCTCGCTGCAGCTGATGCAGCTCTTGCTGCTGCTGCTGCTGCTGCTGCCGTTTGTATCATTTCAACCCAACCAGAGAGGAGAGGTTTCACCGGAATGAGCCACGGCAGGGCCTGCTTCGCCCTCGGGTGGAAAATCACGGCCAGGCGGAGCGCGCGGCAGATGTAGCTCCCGAACACTAGGGGCAACACGGAGAACAGCAGCAGGGATATCCAGAACCAGTCCAGCGAGTAGGTCGCTCCCCACAGGATGAACAGCGACTGGTTGACGGCCGCCACGTACGAAACCACCATGGACGAGCCGGCCATCAACACGAGACGCGCCGATCTGATTCCCAAGCGTTGCGCCGATGGTTTTACAATCGTGGAGGGGCGGCGACGGAAAGGTAAATAGGAAGTTCTGGGAGAAGGGTAGGGGGTCAACAAGGGTCAACGCCGGCCAGGCTATGTAGACAAAGAAGAACCGGTAACTCGAGACACCGCGTGCGGGGGGATAAGGGAGGGTATGCACACGACCCACACAGTTTGACGATGAGAGAGAAACGAACACTGGGTGTGCCGTCAACGGAGAACACCAACGGGGACAGACTGCTGCTGCGGTTCAGTGAAGTCTAGAGAGGGGGCTCGTTTCGTGGGGGGCTATCCTGTCGCGCCTCAATCTTAACCTTGCTTCCAAAGAGGGCGCAACACTTACCTCTCCAACTCCAGTCCATGTAACTACTACTACGCATGTCCCCCCTCAACAAATCACAGCCAGTGCAAAAGATACGACACCCGCCGGGCCGACAATCATTGCGCTTGCAGTCACTGCAGTGCCGGTGCCGCAAATGGCGGCGTTAGAACCATCTTGTCGCCGAAAGCGTCCCGAAACTGATATATTCAACTGAATGTGGCACCCGCTTGGTCGTGGAGAAATCGAGCCTTTATCTTTACCTATGGATGGATACAGCTGGATTCGATGCGTTATACTAAGAACAAGATGGACAAGGCGGTCTCGGGGAGGCGGAATTTTTGCAACCTGCCTATCCGGTTTGTTCACCGAAAAAAACAAAACCAACAAAACGCGTATGACTTTTAGATTCTGTTCAACATCAGCTTATACTTTGATGGTATGTGATCGTAACTGCACGACAAAACTAACCTTGCGCGGATGTCGAGGATGTATCTCGAGCGGTAGAGCAGGACGAGAGCGTACGTCCCGAAGACAATGAAGATAATCGCCAACACTAGCCTCAACCACGCCATGACTGTACGCACACATTGCAGGCACGCGCGCGAGGGAAGGGGGGAGGGTTGCAAAAACAGGAATTAAGGAGGTCAGCCAAGACAAATATTTTTGTTTGTTACATGTAACGAAGAACTTCAGCAGTTCTTCGGCTGTGTGAAACCACCTGTACATCATCCACCTGTAGATCATCAATCATCGTTGAGTACTGGAGCTCTCTCAAGCCCTTGCTTACACCACCCACCAGGTCCGACCCACAAGGACGTTTGGTTCCCTCTCCATCGCTGTACAGCCACAGTCCTCCGCCATATGATACCGGCCGCGGCCCTGTACATGCCAAATGCGCTTCTACTGCTACAGCTGCTGCTCTAAAATAGCCCACGTTTATTACATGCAACCAGGTACAACACGAAAAGTAAAAAATGCCAAGTGCATATTACTTGGAAGTGTGATTACAGCAGCATATATTGGAGAATATACGCAGCCGTTGAATGTTTATGAACAACAGCATGAAGACGACGCCGGCTGCTTGCGTGAGCGGAGTGTCGGCGGCGGCGGGGCGAAAAAACACGCATCCTCCTTGCCCTCCTCGATCTGAAGCCCCCGGAAAGTAAATAAATTTTGACAGTGCACACGTCACCCCAATGAAAAGAAGAGAGAACGAAAACACGCACAGGTAATACAGCAGTATTGTTGTTGTTGTTGTTGTTGTTGTTGTTGTTGCTGTTTCTCACAGCATTAGCTCGTTAGTCTACAAAAATGGGGAGCCCGTGGTCTCAAAACCCGGCACATACGACGCCGCGGGGAAATATGTAGATGTGTTGACTACTGAGCAGGCACACGCCAAGAAAAAAAATATCCATAAGGCTGTTTCTTACAGAACCGGATTCTTGATCTGAAAAATCGATTTTTTCGGCCGGACAATAATCCGGCTGGGAAAAACGTACGACCCTTCTTACAGGAACCGGATTTTAGTCAGCGGATTTTTTGCTGGACTGTCATGTATTTTTGAAATGCAGCGCGCGCGCACGCGCGGGTAAAAAGTGCCAGCACGACATACACGCGCACAGCAGCAGACCTCACGCGGCAGACCACACAACCATTGCACAACATGCCCGATGGAGGTGCATCTGAGCAGCCTGAGGCGCTCTTGCTGAATTACAACCCATTGGCGAAGGCCGCTGTCGCACACTTTGGCGACTGCATCGAGGGCGGCATGACGAAGAAGCAGATAATGTTGCAGCTGCAGAGCGTTTGCGCCACCTACGCTTGCCAGGGAGTGAAGCGGAACGCTGGCTTGACAAACAAGAAGAGTAAACAGAAAGCTGCGACCCACGCTTACAAGACAATCGTGGTTCCCGGTTTTTTGGCTTGGCTGCGGGAGCTCGAAGGCTCTCCTGTACAGCTGCCTCGGTGGTTGACAGAGGAGCTGTTGGGCTGCAGCAACGTGAACGGGAGGGGAAGAGGTAAGCCATGGTACTACTACAGCAGCCTGGGTCCATGCTCCGTTAATGTGGGTCGAAGGAAAAAGGACGCAAGGCTTGTCACCCCCCACACCGCGCGCTCGCTCCTCTCTCTTTCATCTTGAACCCGGTACATGTCGCTTTCGTGCACGTGTCTGTTGTACCTGCTGTTCGGTTGAACGTCACACGCTCGCTCCTCTCTCTTTCATCGTGAACCCGGTACATGTCTCTTTCGTGCACGTGTCTGTTGTCTCTGCTGATCGGTTGAACGTTACGCATGTGCTGCAACAGCAGTGTGCAGCGCCTGTTGGGGTTAACCTTAGCCTGGATGTGTTTTGTGATAATCTCCCCGCGCAGCACCAAAGATAAAGAAAGAACGCGCATGAACGTACTCGTTTGAAATCTAAACAGCAGCGGGTCGAGATGGTAAAGCATGGCACTGCTGTTGTTGTGTTCAGACGGCGCATTTTATCCCGTAAACAGCTGGAAACTCGAGTCTCACACACGAAGTTTCCTCCCCTCGCCCCCAACCCGGTGTGCAGGCGAGCCGAAGTACTACAAGGACGACTCCAAGGTGTGGGCTAGGCACATGGAGGACTACCTGCTCATCAGGCGTGATGTGAACCCAGCTTTCGATGGGTGAGTTTTAAGATAGTGCGAAGGCCCCACGAATCACGTATTTTTCAGGAGCAAAGTTTGTGTTTTAAAATTATTTTATCGTTGGGGATTGAATGCGCCATACGTACCCTGTACTGGTAATTGTTTGCCCGCGTGTTATTTCTCCCAGGTGTTAAGCGGTGCACCACGCATACAGCAGTACGGCGCTGTTCACGCCCAATGTCACGTGAAGCAGACAGAGACGCGAACCTTGCCCGCAAAAGTGACCGCATGTTTTTCTTCGACATGGAGAGCGTGGGACTTCTTGCGTGATGCCGAACAAGTGCTTGCTTGCCCCGTGACGTCTCCCCCGTAATCCGCACATTCCTTTTCCTTCTCTTCTCGTGCGCACCATTCTTGCACCCCTTGGAAATTAGGCTCGAACCTGGACAACCAGCGGGACAGCTCAAGTCCGGGCAGCAGTACAACGACCAGCTCTCTGCACTCTTAGACGAGTTGTGGATCGTCCGCTGCAAGAATTTAGGGAAACCTAAAGATGTTGTCGACCTCGACGAAGAGCGCGATTACCTGCCGGCCCGCTCCTCGCAATCAAGCCCTGCTACCGTCAAGGAGGAGGACGGAGAGCCGGAGCTACCTTGCGGAGGAGGCTTGGAGGGAGAGGGCGCCGACGGCACGCAGGAGGGTGCCGCCGGCGAGCCTGCACCGGGGGAGACGTCGCCCGCGGAAGTGGAGGACACGAAGGATGGTTCATCAGAGGCGGGAGGCGGTGGTGCGGTGGGGGCGGGGAGTGGTGCGGTGGAGGCGGGGAGCGGTGGAGAGGCGGGGACGGGGAGCGACGATTCTTTGGGGCCCGAGCCAGAGGAAGGTTCGCCGGACTACCCGCGATGGCTCGCCCGACAGGGGGCCATCAACGCGAAACAAGCCGCTTCCGATGACGCGGTCAGCTCAAGTGGGGACGGCAACTTGGGATACGGGCCGAGGCCCGCGAACTGGACGCACCCGCTCACCCTAACGTTCTGCTTTTTCGGGAGGCCGGCTGGTGAACACGAAGACACGGAGCTCAACACGTGCGCAGCGAGCTCCGGGCCTCCGTCTCGCGGCAAGAAAAGGAAGGGGGGCAAGGGCAAGGCCAAAGGTCCCGCCAGCGAAGGTGGGGGCAGCGGCGAGGGATCCTCCGGCGAGGGATCCTTGACGGAGAATCCGTTGCACGCAGGCGCTGTGAGGCAGTTTGTGGGGGCCGGGGAAGCGCAGAGCCGAGCAAAGGTGAAGAAGGCTACACAGGAGGTAGAGCTGCGGCAGTCCCGTGATGCAGCGAGGGCTCAGTTTCTGCGGCAGAACACGGAGCAACTGGAAGTGGCGAAGGAGATGCGCGATGCGGTGAAGCGAGTAGCCGACAACACTACCGCTCAGCGCGCGCTGCAGGAAGAGGAGGCCTGCCGCAAGCGTAAGAAGCAGGCCATCGAAGACCTTGAGGGCGATCTACAATACTGCGAAAGCCACGAAGCTAAGGCCATCAAGCTGAAGATTCGGGCTATGCGCAAGATGCCCGTCGGCCAGTTCACCGCTGATTTCGTCTCAGGCGGCATCGACGACCTAGCGGGTCCCTCCGCTCCAGAGGTTACCTCGGACGTACCCGCCTTGCCGGGCTTCTCGCTCAACAGCGAGACACCGGGGCCTGAAGGTGGTGGGGCTACGGCACAGCATCCCCAGGGTTAGGCTTTCTCCGCGGGGAGGTCTACGGTGACAACTTGTTTAGAAAATTTAGCGCGAGAAGCCCGCTTTGTCGTGCGGGGAAACATCCCTGGCGGGCGTATCTGATTCGATGTTTTTTTCGTCGTGTGTTTCAGTTGGCGCTTGGAGGGATCACCCGTCCGTCGTCGGCCGTGTAGGACATGTAACTTTATTTGGCCGGAGCCAAGTTAGCTCTCACAATCATTCCTTTTGAAGTTGTTCGTGCGCAGAGTTTATGTTCGACTTCGGGAGTCAAGCTTGAGGGCGCACGA